CGGATAACCGAATATCCAGTATTGGCAAATTTATCTCTGGTACTCCTCGGAGAAAGCTGCCTCAGAACCCCAAAAACAGTGAGCACACCCTGGCCAAGATGTGGAATGTGGTTCAGTCCAACAATGGCATCAAGGTGCTTCTGTCCTTACTGTCCATTAAGATGCCCATCACAGATGCAGACCAGATCCGGGCCCTGGCCTGCAAGGCCCTGGTGGGCCTGTCTCGCAGTAGCACTGTCCGGCAGATCATCAGTAAACTGCCGCTTTTCAGCAGCTGCCAGATCCAGCAGCTGATGAAGGAGCCTGTGCTGCAGGACAAGCGTAGTGACCATGTCAAGTTCTGCAAGTATGCTGCTGAACTCATTGAACGGGTGTCAGGAAAACCACTGCTGATTGGCACTGATGTTTCTCTAGCACGACTGCAGAAAGCAGATGTTGTTGCCCAGTCAAGGATCTCCTTCCCTGAGAAAGAGCTGCTTTTGTTGATACGAAACCATCTTATTTCTAAAGGGCTTGGAGAAACAGCAACTGTGCTAACAAAAGAGGCTGACCTGCCCATGACTGCTGCCTCCCATTCTTCTGCCTTTACCCCAGTCACTGCTGCTGCTTCTCCTGTCTCTCTTCCCCGAACCCCTCGTATCGCTAATGGCATTGCAACTCGACTAGGTACCCATGCTGCTGTGGGTCCCTCTGCCCCTTCTGCCCCCACTGCCCATCCTCAGTCACGGCCCCCCCAGGGTCCACTAGCTCTGCCTGGCCCATCTTATGCAGGCAACTCTCCTTTGATTGGTAGGATCAGTTTTATCAGAGAGAGGCCATCACCCTGCAATGGCAGGAAAATCAGAGTGTTGCGGCAGAAGTCGGACCATGGTGCCTACGGCCAAAGCCCAGCCATAAAAAAGCAGCTGGACAGACATCTTCCTTCCCCACCTAAGCTGGACAGTATAATCACAGAATATCTTAGAGAACAACATGCTCGCTGCAAGAATCCAGTTGCTACCTGCCCACCTTTCTCTCTCTTTACTCCTCACCAATGTCCTGAGCCAAAACAGAGGCGGCAAGCGCCAATAAACTTTACCTCAAGGCTAAACCGCAGGGCATCGTTTCCAAAGTATGGAGGGGTGGATGGTGGATGCTTTGATAGGCACCTTATCTTTAGCAGGTAAGAAGAGGCCCCTTCTTACTCCCTGGGAATTGGAATGATTCTTTTATGTAAATCAAACTGTTTGGGCCCTATCAGCATAGTTGGCCTGAAATACCACTGATTGTCACTTTGTATATAATACAGGAACAATGTAGTTGTATCACCCTTTATCGACCATGGGTTCCTTATGTGCTCATTGGCAGTATATTGATACAATCCTGTGTATCAGTATACTTTCTCAACTAGTATATTTTCTAGAATCTAGAAATTACTGTCCATAAGGAAGCTTCCAAACTTGTGCTGGTGCAAATTGCTTCCTGTTCTGATTCTTGACAAATCTTACATAAAGGTTATGGGATGTCAGGTTTTAAACACGGGAATTTTTTTCTTCTTTTCAAGACGGAGTCTCTCTCTGTTGCCTAGGCTGGAGTAAAGGTTATGGGATCTCAGGTTTTAAACATGGGAATTTTTTTCTTGTTTTTGAGATGGAGTCTCTCTCTGTTGCCTAGGATGGAGTACAGTGGTGCAGTCTTGGCTCACTTCAACCTCTGCCTCCCAGGTTCAAGCGATTCTCCTGCCTCAGCCTCCTGAGTAGCTGGGATTACAGGCAGGCACCACCACATCTAGCTAATTTTTGCATTTTTAGTAGAGATGGAGTTTTACCATGTTGGCCAGGCTGGTCTTGAATTCCTGACTACCGCTCACCTCAGCCTCCTAAAGTGCTGAGATTACAGGCGTGAGCTACTGCATCTGGCCTAAACATGGGAATTTTTGTTATTTAAATTTGTAAGTGGAAATCTTTTTCTTATTTCAAATAAAAAGCAGTGAAGGTCACTGTGATTTTGGAAGAACCCATTTGAAATATTACTGCTCTGTGCTTTTTCTTCCATCCCAGCAGTTTGCTTTTTCTGAGTCCCTGCATATTCTTTGCCTCTGATTCTGTCTTTTTTTGCTTAGATTCCGTCCTATTTCAGTGTTCCGGGAAGCCAATGAAGATGAGAGTGGCTTCACCTGTTGTGCATTCTCAGCACGGGAGCGGTTCCTGATGCTTGGCACCTGCACAGGGCAGCTGAAGCTCTATAACGTGTTTAGTGGACAGGAGGAGGCCAGCTATAACTGTCACAACTCAGCCATTACACATCTTGAACCTTCCAGGGTAAGGGTTCCTTCCTAGGATGCTCTCAGTCATTCTTCTAAGATAAATTGATGAACTAGAGTAAAGGAGACTTACTCTTTATTGAGCTCTCTGTTTTAAATGAGTCATCAACTAGAAAGTCTAGTTGAGGTTGGCTCATATTTCAGATGGAGACTGAGGAATATGGCAGAGTTATTAGGAAGAAAGGAACCATCTTTGGCATCTTCTCATTTTTCCCCCCTCCTTTTTAACTATTCTATTTTTGTGGTTAGTTCAGTAGAATTTAACATTCTCTATAGTTATTTTCTAGGACATTATAGTTATATACATTCAAATCCTAGTGGCTTCTGACCATTTCTTGGTTTCTGGGGGTTTTAAAATTTTCTCTTTAATTCAACAACATTTTTATGCATATATTTAAAAATGCTAATGATAGGTAGTGATATCTACATGCATGTACATGCATGGTTACCCACCTTGGACCTTTTTCTTTTAGGATGGGTCCCTGCTGCTGACGTCTGCTACTTGGAGCCAGCCTTTGTCTGCACTTTGGGGAATGAAATCAGTATTTGATATGAAGTATGTATCTGCTTTTGGATCCTAATCTGTGCTTTATTTGCCTAGTTTATATCCCCTTCATTTGGTTCTTAGACTGGAAGCCTTTTGAGGAAAGAGGAATGCTGTCAGTTATTGTTAACTTCTCTCTTCCTCATCTGAGACTCATGTTTAATAATAAGATGTTATCTTTCTTAATTCCTAGGTATTTTTATGAGGTATGTACATTATTATGCAGAAGACCCTGACCCAGAATTTATGTATTTTCCCATGTTCACATAGGACATTGCACTCTTCTTTCTTTCTCTTTTTGAGACGGCATCTCACTTTGTCAGGTTGGAGTGCAGTGGCACAAGCATGACCCACTGCAACCTCTGCCTCCCAGGCTTAAGTGATTCTTCCACCTCAGCCTGCTGAATAGCTGGGGCCACAGGCGTGTGCTGCCACACCTGGCTAATGTTTTGCATTTTTGGTAGAGATAGGGTTTCAACATGTTGCCCAGGGTGGTCTTGAACTCTTGAGCTCAGGTGACCCACTTGCCTCAGCCTCCCAAAATGCTGGGATTATAGGAGTAAGCTACCATGCCGGCCCCTTTGCTTCATGTTTCAAAGACACATGTGCGCTATTTGTCATTTCTGTAAGGAATTCCCATTCATTTTATTGTGTCTGCTTGGACAAACTGATAGAAGGAATTTTCTTTTTAATCTAAGTGTATGATTATTTCCTCTTTGGGAGTCCAGGATCTTTAGGTGAGTGTGATTGTGCAAGAGTCTGGGGGTCACCCATATTTCAGTTGGTTGCAGGAATATGTCCTCAATGTCTGTCACTTCAGTGCTCCTGTTGTTTGTCCATAGGCATTCCTTCACAGAAGATCACTATGTTGAGTTCAGCAAGCACTCCCAGGATCGGGTCATCGGCACAAAAGGCGACATCGCCCACGTAAGTACTTAAGAACCACTGTTTTCAAGCTGATTATGCCTGTTTGTTCATACTGAAATCTTCTTGGTAGAATGTGGGGACCTAAGTCCTTTGGGCAAATAAAAGTTACTCAATGATATTCCTTTCAGTTACAATCTCAAAGTATGATAACATAGTTCTGAGCTGTATGGGAAAAATGTATAAGGGCTAAATGTGACATTGAGAAGGATGTCATTAGCACTGCAGATATTTTTTAATTCTTAGTTTTAGATTAGAAATGAGTCCTGCCTTTATGGACCCTCATTGGGGAGACAATAAAGAATCAAATATATGGTAAATTTAGGTGGTAAGTATTGCAGAGAAAATGAAAGCAGGGTAAGAGGTAAGAAATGCTTGTTGGTGGTGTGGGGAGACTTCTCTTTTATCTGGGGTAGACAGCATCACTGATGGGGTAGTGTTTAAGCAGAGCCTTGAAGGAAATGTGAGGTTCAGGAAGATACCTGGAGGAACAGTGCAAGGCACAGGAAATGGCAAGGGAAAAGCCCTCGCTTGGGAGGTGGGAGGAGAGGAGGGTAAGAGCTGAGGTCAGTGAGGGGCCCATATCCAGTAACATCTTACAGGTGCTAGTTAGGGCCTTCAGCTTTTCTTTTGAGTGAAATGAAGACACTGGAGGATGAGTAGAGGGTACATGTGTGGATGTAAAGTTCTTAAAGTATGACTAAGGTTTTTGTGAGAGAAGCAAGAGCAGCCTTCCAGGTTGGAGGGTGATGTACCACCTGACACATGAGAGGAACTATGGGTTTGGGCCTGGGTAGGCCTGGTAGAGGCTGGGAGAAAGAAGGGGCCTTGGCTCAGGGATTTTGGACACATGAAGTTTGACATTCTGTTAGACATTCAAGTAGAGAATAGGGATTGAATACAAAAGTTGGGAGTTGCGGGTGTAGTGGCTTGTGCCTGTAATCTCAGCGCTTTGGGAGGCTGAGGTGGGAGGATCACTTGAGGCCAGGAGTTCGACCAGCCTGGGCAACGTAGAGAGACTTTCCTCATCTCTGCACAAAATAAAATTGGCTGGGCTTGGTGGCACATGCCTTTGGTCCCAGCTACTCAGGAAGCTGAGGTGGGAGGGGTACTTGAGCCCATGAGTTGAAGGCTGCTGTGAGCTGTGATTATGTCAGTGTACTCCAGCCTGAGCAAGTGAGTGAGACCCTGTCTCTGAAAACAAAAACAACAAAAAATTGGGAGTTCAGAAGAGAGGTGTGGGTTGAGAAATATAAATGTGAGACTTATTCACATATTGATAGTATTTATTTGTTTATTTTTGAGACGAGTCTTGCTCTGTTGCCCAGGCTGCAGTGCAGTGGCAGGATCACAGCTCACCACAGCCTTGACTGCCTGGACTCAAGCAGTCCTCTTAGCTCAGCCTCCTGAGTAGCTGGGACTACAGGTGTACACCATCACACATGGCTATTTTTTTTTGTATTTTTGTAGAGACAGGGTCTTCCCACGTTGCCCAGGCTGGTCTTGAACTCCTGAATTCAAGTGATCCACCTTCCTTGGTCTCCCAAAGTGTTGGGATTATAGGCATGAGTTACTGTCCCCAGCTGATTGTATTTAGAGCCACAAACTTATCTGAGATCAACAAGGAGACTAGAGAAGAGTTGTGGGTATAGAACCCTGGCATGTGCCAGTATTTAGGAGTTGCCAGATGAGGAACTTGGGAAGGAAATCAAATATAGTGACCAGTAAGGCAGAATGGAACCCTGAGAGAAAGAGGTGCCCAGCTGGGAGTGTGGTGGCTCACGCTTGTAATCCCAGCACTTTGTGAGTATAAGCTGTTCTGGAAGGACGCTAAGGGAAAGCTTTTACATTAGCCCTAATCATTGAACGTGATTTATCAAAAAGTAGGGGAAGGTTGCGGGCAAGAGAGCTGTGGCAATGCGAACTGAGGTAAGTGTACTTCCCCAGGTCCTGTGATGCCACTGCTCTTCATCCAGAGCACCTCTGTGCTCTTAAAGAGGAGACAATGCTGGCTGGACACGGTGACTCACGTCTGTAATCCCAGCTCTTTGGGAGGCTGAGGCAGGTGGATCACAAGGTCAGGAATTTGAGACTCTCCTGGCCATTATGGTGAAACCCTGTCTCTACCAAAAATACAAAAATCAGCTGGGCGTGGTGGCATGTGCCTGTAGTCCCAGCTACTCAGGAGGCTGAGGCAGAAGAATCACTTGAACTTGGGAGGTGGAGGTTGCAGTGAGCTGAGATCACACCACTGCCCTCCAGCCTGGGCAACAGAGCAAGACTGTGTCTCAAAAAAAAAAGTGTCCTAAGAGCCAAGGGAAGACTGTGCTTCAAGGAAGGTTTGATCAGCTGGATCAGAAACTGCTAATGAGTTGCATAAGCTGAGAACTGAGAGGTGATCTTTGATTGAACAATGTGTTAATCATGTCAAGAAATAGTTCGGAGGTTGAGGTGGGAGTCTGAGACCAGCCTGGGCAACAGAGTGAGACCCCTGCCTCTACAAAAAAAGAAAATTAGCCAGGTGCTATGATGCGAACCTGTAGTCTTAGGTACTTGGGAGGCTGAGGTGGGAGGATCACTTTGAGCCCAGGAGGTTGAGGCTGTGGTTAACTGTTCATAGCATTGCACTGCAGCCTGGGTGACAGAGAGAGAGAGGGAGAGAGACCCGGACTCAAAAACAACAACAAAAACTCTGTACACTGGTGGGGCAATAACCTTGTTAGAATTGGTTCATGAGAACAAGGGAGAAATGGACACACAATATGGATAATTTTTTTGAACTGTTTTACTGAAAAATGAAGCAGAAAAGTAGGGTACTAGCTTGAGGGAGGGATATGAAGTGGTAAAGGGCAGGTTTCCTCTTTGACAACCAGACAAACGTAAGCAATGGGGAAAGGATTCCCTTTTTAATAAATGGTGTTGGGAAAACTGGCTAGCCATATGCAGAAAACAAACTGGACGCCTTCCTTACACCTTATGTAAAAATTAACTCAAGACAGATTAAAGACTTAAATGTAAAACCCAAAACCATAAAAACCCTAGAAGAAAACCTAGGCAATACCATTTAGGACATAGACATGGGCAAAGACTTCATGATGAGAACACCGAAAGCAATTGCAACAAAAGCCAAAATTGACAACTGGGATTTAATTAAACTAAAGAGTTTCTGCACAGCAAAAGAAACTATCATGAGAGTGAACAGGCAGCCTGCAGAATGGGAGAAAATTTTTGCAATCTGTCCATCTGACAAAAGTCTAATATCCACAGTCTTAAACAAATTTACAAGAAAAAAACAACTCCATCAAAAAATGGGGAAAGGATATGAACAGACAATTCTCAAAAGACATTTATGTGGCCAAAAAACATATGAAAAAAAGCTCAACATCACTGATGATTAGAGAAATGCAAATGAGGGTGGGGAGCAGTGGCTCATGCCTGTAATCCCAGCACTTTGGGAGGTCGAGGCAGGCGGATCACCTGAGGTCAGGAGTTTGAGACAAGCCTGGCCGACATGGTGAAACCCCATCTTTACTAAAAACAAAAAAATTAGCTGGGCATGGTGCCGTGGGCCTGTAGTCCCAGCTACTCAGGAGGCTGAGGCAGGAGAATCACTTGAACCCAGGAGGTGGAGGTTGCAGTGAGCTGAGGTCATGCCACTCGCTGCACTCCATACTGGGTGACAGAGTGAGACTGTCTCAAAAAACAAAAACAAAAAACCACCGCAATGAGATACTATCTCATAACAGTCAGAATGGCAATTATTAAAAAGTCAAGAAACAATAGATGCTAGTAAGGCTGTGGAGAAATAGGAATGTTTTTATACTGTTGATGGGAATGTAAATTAGTTCAACCATTATGGAAGACAGTACGGTGATTACTCAAGGATCTAGAACCAGAAATACCATTTGACCCAGCAATCCCATTACTGGTATATACCCAAAGGAATATAAATCATTCTACTTTAAAGACACATGCATATGTATGTTTACTGCAGCACCATTTACAATAGCAAAGACATGGAACCAACCCAAATGCTTATCAATGATAGACTAGATAAAGAAAATGTGGTGCATATAAACCATGGAATACTATGCAGTCATAAAAAGGAATGAGGTCATGTCCTTTGCAGGGACATGGGTAAAGCTAGAAGATGTCATCCTCAGCAAACTAACACAGAAACAGAAAACCAAACACCACATGTTCTCACTCATAAGTGGGAGTTGAACAGTGAGAACACATGGACACAGGGAGGGGAACATCACACACTGGGACCAGTTTGGGGGTGGCGGGCTAGGGGAGGAGAGCATTAGGACAAATACCTGATGCAGGCGGGGCTTAAAACCTAGATGACGAGTTGATAGATGCAGCAAACCACCATGGCACATGTATACCTGTGCAACAAATGTGCACATTCTGCACATGTATCCTGGAACTTAAATAAAAAAGTCAACAAGGTCAAGTAATAAAGAAGGTACCTTGCAATCTCTACTTCTACAACAGGAATTCAGGCTCAGTCAATACTTTTTCCTATTACCAAATGTAATTAAGGTATAAGGCTCTCCCTGTTACAATAAATGATTAAACCTATCAGTAAATAACTTCACATAGGTCTGGAAGGAAAAAGAAAAAGTGTGTTGGGGGGAGATTTTCCCCCTCAACTTTTCATTTGAAAATGTTCAAATATACAAAGAAATGAAAAGAATAGTTCATATACCTACTACCTAGATTTATCAATTTGATATTTTGCTATATTTTTTATGTAAATGTGTTTTTCTGAACCATTTGAAAATTGCAAGCGTCATGACATTTTACGGCTGTCTTACAGCATGTGTCTCCTAACAATGACATTTATTTCACAATCACACTGTTATTAAATCTAAGAAAATTTGTAATCCCCTAAATAATCATCTAATATCCCGTCCATACTCACTCAGTTTTCTCAATTATTCCTGATGTGTTTGGTTTCAGTTTTTTAATCAACCAGGATCCAGCCAAGATTCACATATTACATTTGGTTGTTAGGACTTACTAGTGTTTTAAAGCCAAGAACCATTTTTCCAGTTTTCATGACAGTGACTTTTGAAGAGACCAGGACAGTTTTCTTTTCTCATGATCTGGATTTGTTTGATTGTTTCCTCGTGGTGTCTCCTTATTTGTTCCTGTATTAACGAAGAATTTTTTTTTTTTTTTTAAAGATTGGAAATATTACAGCATGCCTGTCTATAAGCTGATGAGAAAGATCTGGTCTCTGCATGGATTGTACATTATATAGACTTTGGAAACTTTTAATATGGCGGGGCTAAAATATGTACATTGGGAGATTTTTAAGGAGAAAAGGATATTTCATTGATGCCTTTCTCCGAAAAGTAACCCTTCAGGAGTATTCAGTGGTAATCATTGATCCATATGGAGAATTTCTGTGTTAATCTTAGAAACTACTTTGCACATTTTCTCTCTAAATTTGTCAATGGATGGATTGGTCTGATTTTTCTCTTCCTACCCCTTCTTCTCTAAAGATTTATGATATTCAGACTGGCAACAAGCTGTTGACTCTGTTTAACCCAGATCTTGCCAACAACTACAAGAGGAACTGTGCCACCTTTAATCCTACAGATGATCTTGTCTTAAATGATGGCGTCCTCTGGGATGTCCGCTCTGCACAGGCCATCCACAAGTTTGACAAGTTTAATATGAACATCAGTGGTGTTTTCCATCCGAATGGGCTGGAGGTGATCATTAATACTGAGATTGTATCCTTTACACTCGTGTCTTACCTTCTTGTCTGGTTGGTTGTGCAGGAATAATTTGTTTTATCTCTCCACCAATACCTGGTTTAAGTATCCACACTGGTAATAATATGGTACCTGTCCTTTGGTTTGAAATGTTAGTGAAATCTCCAAAGCACTGTTGCCAAAGTTAGTAACTACGTACAACTTTCAGTAGCATGTTTTCTATGTATTTGATAAGAGTGACCAGTTTTCTACTTCCCAATTCTCCAATTGAATTAGCTTTTATCTGTCTTCAGAAGGATTTTACTTTTGCTCTATAAAAATCAGTTGCCTGCTGGGCACGGTGGCTCACGCCTGTTATCCTAACACTTTGAGAGGCCAAGGCAGGCAGATCACGAGGTCAGGAGATCGAGACCATTCTGGCCAACATGGTGAAACCCTGTCGCTACTAAAATACAAAATAATTAGCTGGGCGTGGTGGCTGGCACCTGTAGTCCCAGCTACTCAGGAGGCTGAGGTAGGGGAATCGTGTGAACCTGGGCGGCGGAGGATGCCATGAGCCGAGGTCGTGCCACTGCACTATAGCCTGGGTGACAGAGCAAGACTCTGTCTCAAAATCAATCAATCAATCAATCAATCAATCAATCAATCGCCACATAAGAGGAAAATGAAATACTACTGTTGGGAGGAAAAGAGCTCATAAAGCCTTCATGTATATGAGGATACCCTAGGGTATTTTCAGAGACATTCAGTAATACGCATTCTACATGTATTTGTTTCACCTTAATCTCATTGACTTTTTTTTTTTTTCTTTTTTTTTTTTAAGATAGGGTTTCACCATGATGGCCAGGCTGGTCTTGAACTCTTGACCTCAGGTGATCCACCCACCTTGACCTCCCAAAGTGCTAGGATTACAGGCGTGAGCCATCGCGCCCAGCTGATCTCATTGACTATACCTGGCAGAGGCAAAAAAGTGATATTTTAAAATTTCCTTCCATGAGATAAGTTTTGTGTAAAACAGTTTTCCTTGACCATTCCACTTCTAGTGGGACCTTCGAACTTTTCATCTTTTGCATACTGTTCCTGCTCTGGATCAGTGTCGCGTGGTGTTCAATCACACAGGAACAGTGATGTATGGAGGTAATAAACCTTATCCTTCATTCTCTTTCCCTCTCCTCTACCCCTTCACTTAATTTAATACTTCCTTTTTGGAACCATCTCTCACTTGCGAATTGGAAAGCATTTGAAAGTTGTAACATAAAAGATAAAAAATTTATAGTACAAATTGTGACAAAGGAGATGAAAATAAGGTTGATTTAGGGTGAAAGGCAACTGACTTTGAAGATAATAAGGAAATCTTGTATGGAAAGAAACTTCATGCAGTATTTTCCAGTGTGTCACATTACGAACTTAAGACCTGTGCACTTGTCCTCTTGCGGTGTTGTAAGCCTTGTAAGTACTGTAACACTTCTTGGAGGTAGATGAGAAGCTGAGGATATTTGTAATAATAGATGGGATATGCAAGGAAGATGCTCTGAGAGGAGCTAACTAGATGCAGACTAGATTTATGTACAAGGGAATTTGTATGTAAACCTATATACAAGTAGATTGTCTTTATTGGCCATTAACATTTTCTGCATTTCTGAAGAGGGGATGTTTATGATTCTTAATAGTGCTTTCTCCTCCTCTCCCCCCTCAAGCTATGTTGCAGGCAGATGATGAAGATGACTTAATGGAAGAGAGGATGAAAAGCCCCTTTGGGTCATCTTTCCGAACATTTAATGCAACCGACTACAAACCTATAGGTAAGCAGGAAGGGACAGACATTGATCATTTTGTCATGTTTTGGTGTTTCTTATTTACGAGGCTTCATTTTCTGGGAGGCCTGTACTTTTCTATTGAAAAACAGAGGAGTTATGGAAATAATTTTGAGCAATCATCCTGAATTCCTTTAGAGGAAAAGCAGGTTTTTTTTTTTTTTTTGATGCCATGACTCGGAAAAGTAGGTTTTAAGATCACAGTACTAATCCAATCCCAAACCTTCTCACATTGTATTTTCTAGCAACCATTGATGTGAAACGGAACATCTTTGACCTCTGTACAGACACCAAAGACTGCTATCTTGCTGTCATTGAGGTAAAGGGAGCTTGCAGAGGCCCTGCTCTGTTGTTCTGATGTTTAGGATAATTTTTAAGTTGTACTACAGACATTTTGTCTGATACAAGATGTAAAGTCAATACATTCCTAAAGGTAGATTATTA